GATTTTTCAAAGGTTAGAAAACCCCAGTGGAATTATCAAAATGCAAAATAGTTTACATGTAGGTAATTAAGCCTTTGTTTCATTATTCTCAGACAACTAAACAGAATCAGTAATCAGAAAAGAATAGGAAGAAACACTATCTAAGCTGTGGCGCCTGGGGTTTGTTTGAGCAATTTCTATAATCACACCTGGGAAGAACACAGCTGGTGCTACCTTCAACATTTCTTATATGTGTGTCTGTGTGGGTAGAAAAAAGGATGATCACAAGTTTCAGACTATGCTATTTACATCAGATTTAAAAATCCTATTAACAGTGAGATTTTTCAAAGGCTTCTTTTTGCAGACAACCTCAGCCGATTCACAGAATCACACTTCAGTCGTGCAGCATGCTCCTGTTGTAAAACTCCCTCACACACTCCCTGAAGGTAGAGAGAAATGACCACGACAAACCTGTCTTTGTGAAAGATGCTCAAAGATGCTCAAACAGGGAGTCCACCTTCAACTTCTCAAGATAATCTATAATGTCCATAAATCAGTACAGCTACATCAAATGTGACGCAATGAAGACCATTACCTAATGTGCAAAATTTATCTTATGTGTAACTTATGCGAAACAAGATGAGGAATGCATAAATAAAGCTTCATTACAAAAAAAAACAAAAAAAAAAAACTTCCCAAGTGGGTTAAATACGAGGTGTCCCTATTGCTTAAGGCATTCAGAGCAAATAATCAAGCAGGGTGCTCCTCATATTTAAGTCATTTAAGTATACGTGACATTAAAAAGAAATGTTTAAAGCAACAATTGAATACAGTCACCATCTGCAAGCTTACTCTCCTGGCAGCTAAAGCAAAAGTGCTTTATTTGGTAAATCTGAAGGTAATACTTACTATCTGCCCTGCAATAAATCCACCTGCCTGTCTCGGAGTTACAAGCTTGTAAAAACATCTTAGGAATTCAGTTCTGAGCATCATTGTCAAAGATATGCATGAGTTGCATTCTGTCTCAATCACACTCCCCTGAGCTATTCCTTGCTTCCATGCTCACCCCCTGCTCTCTTCTTGCAGAGTTATTGTTTTTTCTCTGCCTCTCCTCGCAGTCAGTAGGTCCTGACAGCTTGTCTCCTCAACAGAGATTCCTCAACCACTGGGCTGCTGCGTTTGGCTGTCGGGGGGGGGGGGGGGGGGGGCAGCAGGTGAAAAAACTGCACAGAGCTTCACCCGCCAAACACTCCTGTCAGCCGGCCCCAACGAGTTGCCCATTCATTTCTTTGTCATGTCTGCGTCAGAGTGACCGGTGTGGGGAGTTGTGCCTTGGCTCAGTCAAACTGTATTTCTCCACCTCGTGAAGCTGACAGCTTTTTAGGTGATGACGTTAAAGATTCGGCACTGTGTTTCTTTATCAGTCGCTGACTGATTGATTTAAACGTAGTACTTCTTTGTCTGTTTCCTTAAGTTAGTGCGTACTCTTAACAGTTTGATCCACTGGTTTGACTGTGTTATGCTCATCCTATAGTCATCAATTACATATTTATAAATCTTTGTTCCAACAGACAACTTTAAGACTTTAAGAGGTTGCCTACGCAGGATAGAGTCTGAGGTTCAACACGCTCTGAAACTGCTTGCCGGAGAAAACAATTTAGCTAAAGTATGAACAACCTTGCCACAGGGTAGAATGCATGAATGCATGTACATACCTTATGTGTGTCCAAACAGAGAAGGTGTTCATGTCACAGTACAAGAAAAATCAAGGTTTCAGAATTCATGAGCTAAGAGATTAAATAAGCATATATTTGCATTTAAAGAGAATGCTGTTGTTAAGACCTATTCCAGTTTTCATTTTTAATACCTATGTATAATATATAGCCTTACAGTTCCACTGAAGTAGTTGACATTTGAAAGTAGAAAAGAAAGAGAGAAATAAATACAGCAGATGAGCAGGCTACTGTGCTTGAAGATGGCAATGGCTTCTGGCACATATTGAAAGTTGAAGGTCCTGCACAATGCAGTCTATAAAAAGTGTTTTCTCTTTGTCTCTCTCTCTGTTTGTTCTTGCCTGGTCAAGGTTCCTTAGAGGGTTGGCATGTATCTGCCAGCAGAAACAATTCTTTCAAGGCTGCCTTCATTAGATGGATGCCCAGGAAAATAATAAAAGGAAAGCTTTGAAAGCTGGTTTGAAGAAAATGTGTCAAGCAACCTGGCTGAGTGAAATAGTGAATATGCGTATATGTTTGTGTGGGTGGATAAAGATGTGGGATGAGGATGGGCACAGGCTAAGGTGTCATGTACTCCTCCATCAGCCAAGTACTTGGTTTCAGATATACTATACAGAGCAAGCCATGACTCTATCAGTAATGAAGAGAAAGGGTGGAAGAACACATCATATACTGGTATTGCAGAAAAAATGAGGCAAATTTGACTTTAATTTACATAGGAAATTTGGACAAATCTATTAACTAAATAGAAATTTGAGCTCACGGGTTTGAATGTCAAATGATGCAATTTAATTTAAACGGTTAACACTTATATATTAAGTCAGCAATCATCCAGCACTAATCAAATGGTTACAATCTGTTACTAGCTAATACTATATGTGTAGAACAGGGGTGACTGTCCTGAAGGAGCATGTATAAATGCTTTGTCTGGAGTTAATGGGTGCAGTAGGAAGTCTTCTTTTGACCACTAGGGGAGCTATGACCCCAAAGTCATGTTCATGGTCTGGAGCAGCTAGCTCTCACGCCACTGGACACAAAGCTCCAGCACTCCCTCCTCCTGCACAGTGCCACCATTCTGCACAGAACACACGCTGCCATATTCCACAGTTGCTGTCCAGAGTAACGGGTTGACGGAAACATGAACACAAACCCTTACACTGACTCTATGTTCAAGACACTAGCCTCTGCTGTGTGTGCAAACACGGTTTTTCAGCAGAGTGAGATGAGACAGATGTGAGCTGGGCCTGGACAAATGTATTTTTTCTACTTCAGAGAGAGGGAGGCTTAGTGGGGCTGACTTCAGGGGATGGCTGCCCCACATCCTCCTGGTGCAATGAGGTGGAGCAGAGCAGGAACGAGACATGTTTGGGATGGATTGAGGGGGATGAGTGGAAGGGTTGTCAGAAGCAGATGTGAACCCCCCCCCCCCCCTCCTCCTCTCTCCAGCCCCCCTCGCTTAAATAAGTCATGCACTAGATCCTTTTATCTACACATGCAAACAGGTACTAGTGAGTTCCCCGGGGAGAAATATACACAGAAAATGGTGGAAATAAAAATAAAAAAATAGAAAAAGAGAGAATTGGAGGGGAAAAAAGCTGCAAAAATGCTTTAACTGGCTCCTCTCTGATTATGGTGTAGGTTGGATCAGAACATGCAGCTCCAAGTTGTTTTCTCTCATCCAGTCCAAATAAGAAAAATAAAAAGTACAGGGAGAGGACGAAACATAGTGGGTAAAGCAAAGATGTCTGCGCACTTATTGAAACTATTATGAAAGATGGGGAGCAGATGCAAACCGGAGTTCCATCCCAATTTCCAACTGAGCTTCACAGATTTCAAATTTGTTTTGTTTCCCCTTAATCCGAAATAGAGAGGGGACAAAACATTATGCAATCAACCATGCACTGATAAAACCAATAGGCTCCAAATATAAGGACAGCCGCACATAGGGCATGAGCGGCTTTAAAACGTTTTGGGCAAAATTAGCATAATTCACACTTGATTCAACATAATCACCAACAATAAAAATAGAATACTCACACACACGCTAAACACACATGCTTATGCACACCAACACTATGTGAACAGGAGTCACTGAGTGTGAAATGGATGCGGCCCCCGTTCCTGGTGCCATCAGCCTTAGCCAACTGGCAGTGGTCCCAGTTCTTCCCCTCCACGCCACTGCCTCCCCGAAACCCAGCACGCTTTGATATCAGAAATCCCCTGGCTACCCAGACATCTGGAAGTTATCATTCAACAGGGCACACCACAAAGCACCATTTCCATAATAAAACATCACATTTTGTTATAGCGTCCTCTCCTCTCCTGCAAAATGCATGCTGGTTACAAGTTGCTGCATATTTCTGACCCCTGATGATGTCTCGCTTTCTCAGTGTTGGCCCTTCTATTAATCTCATCCCAGGATCTTCACAGTATATTACCCGGTTCTAAAATAGCAAGTTGTTTGAACTTTTCAGAAATGATTACTGTTTTAGTGCTGCATTTTCACACAAACTGTACCATAAAAGATTTGAATTGCTGGAATAAAAACACGGTGAGGCCAGAGCCAAAACGGCACATATGCTCTTAGTACCTTCTCTTACAGATCCTTTGTTGGATGATGTCCCATTATCTGTGTGTTTGTGGAATTCAATGGCTGACTTAGTGCTGTTTCTTCTGTTCTGGGTCTATACAATACAAGGCTAACTAACCTGAAAACGTTTTTTCAAACGTTCAAATCAACTCTCTGAAATTTATCTTTCAAATTAGGCTTTTACTTTGGTTTCATCATAGACGTAGCATAAACTTCTCACCTGGCTGAGTGTGGGAAACAAGAATTCCCTTGCATAGAGTGTATGATTCAACGCAAGTGAATAAATGTTACTTTGGGCAAGTTCACATTAAATTGGCAATGTCAATATGTAATTTATTTAATGATTATGATATTAAGATCAACGTTACATAAAGTTATTTATGGAATAAAATACAACCCAAAGAACTATAACTTACATCTTGTTATAGTCAAATAGGAACTTTTTTTTTCTTCTTTAGGAACAATCTTAGAAGAATACCAATTTATTGATTTTTTATTTATTTCTCTTTCTGGATTATTTTTCAGATGCTAAATAACCTAATGCAGTATTCATAATAAATAAAACAGCAGAAGATAAAATGTGAGCGGAGGACAGCTGTCGTAAATCTACTGCAATTTACTGGAGTCACTAAACCAGTGAACCAAAGTGAACCACAGTTCAAAGATTCAATTAAAAAGTCTGGTCCCTGGTTCCTTGTGAGCCGGTTTATGCTTTTTGAAACCAAATGGATCCTTGTCAGCTATAACATCTTAAAGGTGGAACGTTGTCTCAGCTAGATTAGTTTAGCAATAAACAACCTGCTAGTTGTCGGAAGTTTCACTAAGTGAACATTGGCTCCTACTCATTAGGGATAATTTCTCATTGCCTGATCTGATTAACCCTCGTTAGTATTGACTATTTGATCTGGCTGGGTGGGACAGCTTATCTCCGGCTGCTCAGTCTCCACCTGACCTCTGACGGCTTTTAAATAGGAACAGAGGAGCAGAGAACCCCCGGGGTGCCTCCATGTAGGATGTTTTCCAATAACAGCTTATAGCTCAGGGAAACGCACACTCCCCCATGTGGCACTGTGATTCTATCACTTGTAACTATTGCTGCTTCTCTCAGCTCCCATCTCCCCCCTCTCTCTCTCTATCTTTAAAAACCCCAAGGAGTTATGACCTGATTCTGGGCTGTGACTACCACCAGACAACTGAAGGAAATATGGTACGAAGAGCCTCTGAGATGATGATTGAAATTTAAAGCATGACATTTTGGTGTGTAACTCACCTCATTCTGCCCGTTTAACGGCAGGTCGATGGCCGCCAGCTGAACCACCGTCTCCCACGCCTGCATGTGCGGACCACTTGCTGTCAGTTTCAACTGGACCGGTTCATCCAAGCTGGCTCCCTCCGCCTGGACAAAGATGGATCCGTCTGGCCGCACACCGAAGACGGGGTCGCTGCTTCGGATCACGACTGCTTCGTTCCCCATGCAGTCATCAAACTTCACTGTGGACGGAATAATGATGATTTACACAACAGGAATGTAGCATTCTACAAAGCAGTAACAGCCACAGATAAAAAAACAGACACAAATGATTGTCAGTTGGGAAGGATCTACAATTGCTGCCTTGACAACCTAACGGTCTTATAAACAGACAGAATACAGCTGCAGGGCAAACAAGTCAGATGGAGGGAGAAAACCAGAGTGACCACTCTCAAAAAAGACGATGATGATGAGTTGGTACTTTGCTTCTGTTCTCTGAAGGTTACTCTTTGTAGTTACAATTTGAAACAATTTCCAAAATATTATTTGCCGTTTTGTATTTTTCTATCTTTCATGACGCTCCTTGCACAACTATTTGGACTGAACAGTATTTCTGTTATCTTAAGAAAAGTCAAGATATTAGTAACAGCCTCTTTTGGCAAAAAGAAAAAGAAACTGTGGCAATTCATGGTTCCCTAGCAAAAAAAAATCCTGCTTTAACATGAACAAAAAAAAGCTGGATTTCTTTGTCCTCTTATCTTTGGCAGCTGGACTCAAAACTCATCCTTAAGGTCATCTTCTTTTATGATGGCTGCCAAACTGGTTGTCTCATCTTCTTTCTACAGCTTGTTTATACACTGAGGGGAGATTAACTTAAAGGACAAAGGAAAACCATCTTGATCACAATACCGTGTGGTACCTTCACAGATCTTGCAGAAGCACACAGAGTTTCTTAAGAAATAGCTTTAATGAGGTCTTCGAATGGTTTCTCTGCTGAATATTCCAGCCAGGTTTATTAATTACCTCACACATTTCCTCAAATCATGTAGCGTTCCTGCTACAACTAGTTCTTACAGGTTTACTTCACCCTCCAATTTACAAGAGTTCTGTCAATGAATTCAGTGGTAGTTTTACACTCTTTGTCTCTTGGGGAAAAAATAAATCTTAGAAGAAAGAGATATAAAGTAATTGTTCCCAGCCAGTCAGGAAACACTAAAGTAGGCAAACTAACTGTAAATTCCACATACTCAACACAGCCCAAAACTGATTACGTAGAGGTTTACCAAGGAAGATGTAACTTAGGTCATATCAAGGGGGCAACATAAAGCAGCTGGGTAATCCTGATTTTGATCTCTTATGAAACAAGCGGATGAGTCATATCCTACACTGGACCCTCGTCTTCATTTTCTTCCTCCTTCATGGCACCTGCAGTCTCTGCTCTGGAGGATTATAATGTCTAGACAACATATCATGGAATCACTGTGCTTTCCTCCCACGTCTCTACAATAGCTGTAGCAAGGTTCCCATTACATGAAATGACAGAGTAAATCCGACTTTTTGTTATGTTTGCTCTATATAAACCTGTGATCATGTCCAAGCACCCTTATCTGAAGCCAGATGTCCAGAGAGCCATTCAGAACTCAGTAAGAGGGACAACTTTTCATCGCCACTGTCCATAGAGTGTTGCAGGAGTTGCGCAAGTGTCCTTGTCTGACAGATATACGAGGACACAAGAGATTAATTGCATTTACAGAAGAGGTAGATAAGCCTCTGTTCATCAGATTGATTCTCTGCCCTGTATTGCTGAGTATATCCACCTTAAATAAACACAAAAAAAAGCTCACATGCTGGCTTCTGTTGCTTTCATTCACATTCCATTTTTGTATAATCCTATTCCATCTCTTCTGCCATTGTTTTACCAGATTTTCAAAGATTAGATTTAGATTAGATTTGGAGGGCAGGGACGACAACAACAAACAAATTATTTGGATAACATACGTCAGCACAAATTGAATTTTGAATGGCTGCCTGGATGCATCAACAATGATCACAGTTAAAAACCTAAGTCAACGTATGCACTACCAGATGTTTAGATCCTGGTATTTGTGAAACATTTAAAAAAAGAGTAATATATGCAGGATGGGTCAATTTGTGGTTGTTGCTCCTCTTCTCAGAGTCCACCAATTATTATCTCCTCTCTCTGAACTAGGCACACAGCCAACGGTGCAGCAGTATTGCAGTTTTAAAAAAGCAGAGGCCCTTATGTTAAAGCTAATCAATGAGAGAGGAGGGATTATAATAAAATCCAAATTGCCTATCTTAATTTCAATGACAAAACAAGTGACAAAATACAAAATAAAGTAAATAAAACTCAGTTTCCAAAGCACACAACTCAGCACAAAAAGTCTGTAAAACAGCACAGTAGAGAAAGACTCATGAGAAGAAAGTATTGGAGGACATCTATGTGCAAAATGTGATATGGTCTCATCTCATGTAGCGTCAGTCTCACTCGGCATGCTTGCACGCACAGCTGAGTGGAGCTGTGGTTACTGCTCGACCAAGCCATTTAATTGGACCATTGTCCCTGCTGAAATTTACGTGCATAGGAATGGAATCCAGTTATTGACAAATGTATGTTTGATGCAGCAACTGTGGAAGAAGATGTTCAAAAGATTCCAAACTAAAAAATTTACACAAATTGATACTTTTCAATCGTTATAGCCATCTGACAAAAGTCACATTGACAAAAAAGAAAAGAAACTGTGGCTAATTGAGTGTATGCAATGTGTTAACTTGTTTGCTTAAAACATTGTATAATTAGCTGGGCTCAAATGTTGAATTAACAACAGCCTCAACATTATGGGTGTGGTTTTTATACCTAACAAAGAAGGCCTTCTAAACCTGTCAGCCCTTAATCACAAACCACTTTCCACTTCACTTCTTTGCCAGTCTTGCATCTAGTCTGCCGTCAGGACAATTAAGCACTGAATGAATCACTAAATGCAAGCCACCACTGGAGACCGGGATGGATGGGAGATGATTCAGTTGGCTGCAGTTTGTGTTTAAACTTAGCACCGGCCACCTCTTTATTTTTGTACTTTAACTTCTTCTCACATCGTTTATAGTTTATCCAGCAATCCATGCTGCAACAAAACCTTTTTGTGTATTCAGAACTGATATTAGTACTCCACTTTCTTCAATAAACTGTTTCTTCCCCTCTCTCTCTTCACGTTGTTTGAGAAAATATTTGATCAAACTTAAAGACAACAAAGTGCAGGCTTTGCTTTAATTTTGCCTCTTGATATTTCTACTGCGAGAGTAATACTTAAAAGAATGTGAATCTCTGTGGAAGCTTTAGCCAATAAGTCAATGAATACTGAGGCAAGAGGCAGATGTTGGTGTAAAGTGCAATCACTCCCTGTGTGCTGTAGACATTCTCTATGATTGCCCGCATGTCTTAACAATGGCAGGCTGAACTAACAGTACCGATACCCGCATACAAATGCAGTGACAGACTGTTCATGGAGTTCCCAGAGGGTCTTGTTCTTGCACCAATTAAAGAAAAAGACAGTGCCAGTTCCAACCATTCCAACAGCACACACACACAGACACACACACAAATACACACAGACCTTCAATAGCTCCTCTTTCACTTAGACGCATCAATACCGCTATAAGAGAGATTATAAAAATCGGCCAACAACAAAGCAATGAAGCCCAACGGCACCAAGCTGCACATTAACAAGTTGTCTAAAGCACTGGACGCAGGTTGTGCATTGATCTGGCAAATAAGACAGACACCCCAGTGTGCCAAACAGCCAGCCAAGCACTTCTCCTCAGTCTAGTCAATGTGAACAGTCACCCACTGAAATGTGACAAATTTTGCCCCACAGGAAATTAATATATTCATGTTATTTCTTCATCATGATTATATGGGAGACAGGAAAGGAGGTTTCTTTGTGTATTGCTTGAATGATATCACAAACCCAATTTTCACCTCCCCCCCACACCTTTCTAATTAAAGTTTTCATCTACTTCCAACAAGACAAGGGCAAGGAGGAGAAGAACACTGAGAAGAGATGTGACCTTCTTGTGGTGTTCTTTGGACAGCCTGACAGGAAATAGCTGACAAGTGTTGAAAGGAAAGTGAGAAAGGAAGAGTCAGGGGAGAGGGAGAAAGCTGAAGAGTGATGGAAAGAATGTGTGAGGAGGAGGGAAGAGAAGTGAATGACAGAAAAAGAGATGGATGACAGGACTGGGAGTATGCGGAGGTGGCATTGAGAGGCAGTGAAATGAATAAAGAAACATTAAAGGAGAAAAGTTTGAAAAAAAGCTCATAGGCAGATTACAGTGCCTCGCGAAATATCTCCTGAGGAAAGACTGTTTATAGCTGCAGCCGCTTGAACTGCTCAGAGAATGATGCACCGAATGCATCAGATGTCACCGTGACCAACAAAACAGTGAAGAAAAGCTCTTTTATCAGCACTGGATCACGCTGATATCTGTTACAATCAGGCTCATTGTGAGCAAGACAGAATGATACAGAAAGAAGGGGAGGAAGCGGAGGAGGCTGGGAGGTGAACATGGAGACTTGAAAAGGCAGGGGATGGGGGCCTAGCACTGGGTTCCTGGCTCAGTGAACTGGCTCCCTCTCACACATTCATATTGGAATGGATGGGATGCTCAGATGGCTGTTTAAACAGGTTAATTGGGCTGGCCTCCCGAGAGATCGGGACAGATGGATAGAGGGATAGAATGAGAGAAGAGAGAGCAAAAGAGCGACAAAGGGAGAGCAGTGGAGCTCAGAGAGATGGAAATAGAGGGCTGGATGAAGAGATGGATGGTAAGAGATGAATATGGCCACTGATCACAGGCACCATGGGAAGTATGCAGTCTAATCAGAGCAGCGAGGAGCTGTGCAGTGGGCTAGGCCCTGACTGAATAACTACACAGAGGCAGGTCCACAGCCCACTACTGATAGACCATGAAGGCAGAACAAACTTGTGATGGAAGGCTGTTTAAAGTAACGTTAGAGACCCATAAGGGAAACTGGTTCGCCGTGGCCAATCACGAGGAGAGAGTCATCTTTCTATCTTTCACAGACATGTTCAAAGGTACCAGGGCAGTGCCAGCTCCCATTTCAGCCACAAATGTTGTCAGAGTTGATTCAAACTTTGAATTTCCATTAAGAAACAGCACAGAGGAGCACATCAAAGTACAATTGT